TCTACCCTTTTTTTGAAATAAAATGCCATCTCAACTGTTCTCTTCCCATGAATTCTTGCCTACTATGAAGTTGACTGACTAATGCTAGCTATAGCAATTCATAATTTACAAAGTTACAGAGATATTGTTGAAATGAAAGATGTCAAAAATGGAAGTGTTTTTCAGGATTTCCAAGTGGATATTTATTTCCAAGAAAAATGGGTGGACTTACGGTTGGCACATAACGGTACGAAACGGATCCTGTTGAAGGTCGGTATTGAGCCGCAGGGATAGATCAACGGGAGCTCTGATCTCCTGGACTCTATTTTTACTTATATGTTGATTTGTTGGTTTTATTTTTCTGTTATTTTCTTTTTTGCACATTTATTGTTTGTTTTTTTAATACTGGTTTGAATACCTGATTGTATCCTGGATCTAACTCTTTGCTCCTTGATCTTTCACTAAATTTTTATTGACACTGGGCGCTAGGTGCAACGTCATGTCCTGTTTTTGGGAAAATGTTTGTAAGGTACGACCCGACCCCCTCAAATTTTCAAAAATTTTCTTCTTCCGTAGGACCCTCCCCCACCCTCATCCCCCTCACTTCTTACAATCCTACCTAATTATCCTGAATTTTCCCGGCTTCCTAGCAGTTTTTTTCCTTGAAACTGGTCAACTTCCCACAAATGGAATCAGAAGACTGCAACCAGTCGGCGCGGGGTCAGGAGGGGCGGGATGAGGCCACCTCTGGCTCTCGCCCCTACCAATAGTGATAACCCTCAAAATTTCCAAACTTTCCTCCTCTCCCCACCCCCTTTCCCCATAAACTTACCCAAATTTCTAAGACTAAGAACCGATGTGGTGACAACCCCAAGAGCAGGGCCATCCCATCCTTCTCGAAACCGCCTTGACTGATTCGGACGATATCAACAGTACCTCAGGAAGAATGTAATGTTATGAACTTCGAATCCCACTCTTAATATTCTAACCAATTATTTCGTGTTGAAGTCATCATCGTTGCTCTTTTAGGATCCATTTTTGTTCAAGCTGATATGGCACCCAGACATCTACTTCGCTAACGCTCGAACAGCAGCGTTTCACGATGTCACACAGCCCAATTTTCTTGTGTGGATTTATCCGAATGGAACCGTATGGTACGACTGTCGGTGAGGAATTTAGAAGAGTTAGCTACCTTTTACGCTCAATAAGCCCGATTGTGGGATGCGTCATGCTCTTTGCCTGCAAGCGAGAACAGCAGAAGCACGTGCATTCAGGCCCTCAATCATACACGTGTGCAAGCTCCATCTAATCTTCATTTTTTCGATCCTTTTTCTTCTTCTTGTGCTCAAAGAAACTGACCAGGGAAAGTCAATAGGTCGGCCATTTGCATTGAGGTGTATACCGGTGGATGCGGCTTGGGGCTCTGAGCTTAGATCAGCTTTCGCAACTAGCCATCACCGATTCCTGAGGGCATTTGACGAAGAGCTTTTTCTTACTACCGGCCATTTCTCCCGCTCTTCCTATCATCTCCACAAGAAAAGTTGGAGACAGCTACCAATTGCATGTTTTTGTGGTGGCCTTGCGGGCAGGCTTCGTTCGCTACGGAATCTCCTGTCCTCCCGCTGAAAAGCAAAGGCAGCAAAGAGGGTCGCACCTGGACTTCCCAGTTCGTATTCTCCGTATTTTTTCGAGGCCAAGACTATTTGCGCTTTCATGTTCCACCCAGGTTTCCCACCAACCATGATATCCGGCTCTGAACGTTCTAGGTACCTCTTGCACCTTCTTGATTGGAATGGTTGCGATGTTTCCTCCATATTTTATTCTGGAGCTGACAACAAGATTATGCTGCCGATCTTTGTAGGGAAGTTTGTAGTAAGGCAGAACACTAATTCTCCTACCCTGTACGTCACTCAAATATGAAGACGCCCGTCAGTTTACGTGAGGAACGACACAAAGCGAATCACGGCTTCCTGTTTCTTTGTTCGAATTTTCCTGCTCGCAGCAAAGTAGAGTTGTGTTGTCCCAATTAGGGATGATTTTTCGCCTCACAAAAAAAAACAAAGTGAAGCGGAGCGAGAAACAAAATCTATCGGTTTTTGGGCACAAGCCTTAGGATTCCAACTAATGTTGTAAAAAGTGCCTCCTATACTCGAAATCCCTGAGATCGGGTAGGCGTGGCCGCATGTTTCAACTTAACCTGAAGGTGTCTATGCTTCTGGTGAGATATTTTCATCTTGACACAATTGTTGTCGTGTCTCTGTCCAACAGAACAAGATGACAGTTGTCCCAGACTGGAATATTCCACGAGTAACCAGTTCCGTGCCATGTTCAAATGCCACGCCTACTCTGACTCAGGGATAAGGAGTGTATGTATGCAAAAATTGGTTACTTGGATCAACGCTAGATAACCAGGTCACATATCCCTTTGTGGACCTAATTCTGAACATTTAAGGGCCATTCGTTGTTTATATCGTGGACATGAGAGGAGATGAAAAGGTCTTTTCGACGGTATTTCGAGAACGGCACTAATCCAGGACGGGTCCGCAGTTTAAAGGCAGTTGGCACGATGGTTTTCCACTCGGCCTAAAATGCCAGTAGGGCGCTATGTAGTGCGGAAATGG